GATTCTAACATTTTGACTAATCGGGAGCAACATCTGATCTCTTGAGGAATGGGGCGATGGGGTAGCCTAGTGTTTCACCCGAAGTCCCGGGTTCGATTCCCCACATGGGAACAATGGAAGAAGCCCACCCCTGGCGTCCCCCGCCGTGATGTTGCTAGAATATTGCTAAAGAGGCGTAAAACTCACTCGCTCTTCAGTAATGTGCCGCTTGGGATAGGGTCGGTGTCAAAGATGGCAAACAAGTTATTGGTTTCAAAATATCGTTTTCTTTGTGATTCATTGTCACACTGAATTCAGATTTGAGAAATGTTCATATTAGCTAGAGTTTAGTCTAATCGTGATTTGCCTAGTTGATATATATGTCCTACAGGATAACATCGGGATTCCATGTCAACATTTTCCCGTTACAGCTATCTTTTTTCGTGACCTATACGTAGTTTTGTCACCACTCATCCTTTCTGTAAACTACCTTCCAGTTGCCCCAAAAGGAACACGAGTGGTCAGATTCATTCCTTAACTCGATGAATCATGAAGAAGTCAGCTGATTTGCTGCAGTTTTCTTTCACGTACATGCCGTCGTGACGTACATTGCTCTGAAATCGTAAAATCTATTAACCCCTTTGCTAACAGGTAATCAAGTATCAGACACAAAAGAGAATTTAGAATGTCGGGTTCTGCAGGTAGAGCAGGACATGGTCACCTTTTTTCGCGAACACCTGGTGTCCTCACTGATTTTCAGTGATCAATTCATTAAAATTTCATCACTGTTTTGCCTATACCGCCCAATCAAATGTCTTTTCGGAAGAAGGGGCGGTGGGCAGTCTAGTGAGATGAGGTAAAATTGGGTTTAACGTCGCGTCCAAGATTATTGCACTTATATAGCGACGTGCATACACGTGTGTGTGTGTGTGTGTGTGTGTGTGTGTGTGTGTGTGTGTGTGGCTTCTTGTACTGGTCCGGACTGATGCCGATTTATAGTGCTAGCACGCTTAGATACCATGCCGCAGTCTAACATGAATGCCCCACTCAGACACAGTTTTAGCCCCTTAATGCCGAGCGCCAGACAGGGTAACAACAAGTACCATCTTTTAACGTCTTTTGGTATAACGCGACCGGGGATCAAACCCTGGACCTTCCGCTCTACCACTGGACCACGGATGCGGTCTCTGGGTAGTGTAGTGGTTAAAGCGTTCACTCGTCACGCCAAAGACCCGGGTTCGATTCCCCCAATGTGTACAATGTGTGAAGCCCATTGCTGGTGTCCCCCGCTGTCACATTGCTGGAATATTACGAAAAGCGGCGTAAAACTATACTGACTCACTCATTCACAGTTTCGGCAGAAAATAAAGACTGATTTTTCTCTGGCGTTGATGTTTTATATTTAGCACATTTAGTCTTTGACATTGTGAATAATGGATGAGACAGGTTGAACAGGGGATCGAGCTCAATAATTACAGGGCTGTAACGCAATTGTTGGGATTCCAATGCATAGGGTTTCCAGTGCACAAATTCCCAGTATACCCGAGTAATATTAACGGGTACAACGTGAGACCTCCATGGTTAATGGAGTGTCATTGTAACCGGACAGTGTTGGACGACGCTATCGTTGATCGTGATAGCATGGTCTTTTTTTAACAACCACTGGTCTGTTTTGGTTCAGATACGATTGTTTACCGATCGTAGCGATGAAAAATTGTGACTAATTCACTCACTTGTTGAATGAACGTTTCACACTTTTCATGATGTATGAAATAATATAAGCCAGCAATGAATGTAGGCAGAGGAGTGTGCACTGTAAGCTTTGGAATGTATTATTAGGATGTTCGATTCCGTTTCAGCAGCTTTCGTACATATATAGTTCCCTTATAGCGAAAATTGCGATCTATATACCATGTACCATATCTATCAATGTCAATATTGCAATAATGAAAACAGTGATGGTGAATATTATTACGATGACGAAACACGATTTGTAACTGTTGTAACTGCCAAATCAATATTCACACAATAACATATATGACTGAACAGACTTGAATTAAGTGTCGCAACTAATCAGGACTAATGGGAAAATAAATCATAGCAATTAGGGTTATTTGAACAGAATTAGTCTGGCATATATCCAATAGAGCCCATGCAAGTCTACAATAGTGGCCAAGTCAAAATGAAGCGTATCTCTGGGCTTCTTATTATTAGATTATATTAAGATAATTTAGCAACTGCTTCTTGGGTAAAATTAGGTTCATTTCAGCGACTAGATGCGAGTCTATTACAGTATATAAATCAACGTGTGCATGCATGTTCCAATAATCACGTATATTATTAGCCACGCGTTCTATTATGGTGACATTATTGCATGGCCATTAAAGAGAATTGTTCACATAATTAGCAGGCAATTTTGCGGCCGACATTCCAAGCCATGATGATTAGTGTTATGATTTTAACGACACCGCGGAAGTGGTTCAAGTGTCAAGGCTATCGTTTCTACCACGCACGCTCAATGGCAACTTCCGGATCAAGGTTCTTGGCCTGACACAGTGCCTCACAATGTGGCTCCACAGATAGTACTTTTGTTACATATTGGTTTTCAGTATGGTGTTATTTATGTCCTAATAGTTGAAACATTCGGAATTCCCTCAGCTTACTGTGTAAGAACAAGGGAGATATTCAAAGATAACACTAGTGTTGGTTTCATTTCTCTCCCAAACGACGCATAGCCCTGTCAATCTTTGTGTTACTTGTGTTACTCACTATCACACTACCCCCCCCCCCCCCCCCCCCCCCCCCCCCAAAAAAAAAGAAGAAGATAATACCAAATGAACGGTTCCTTATATTGTTTATATGTAGGCAGTACGTGTTCCTGTATATAATCCCTGGTTTGTCTGGGGCAGAATAGGCCCCAGTACTCCACATATATACATGTTAAAAAACCCGTGAAGATCCGGGATTGAATGGGTAGACTTGTGTAGATCGATGCTCTGGATGTCAATCACTGAATTGTTTGGTACATACATGCTGCTTTTTCACAGACCATTGTCCTACAGGGGAGTGCGGCGTTTAACAACAAACAAGCTTGTCGAAAGAGTCTGACGAGGAGAGAACTTGTGATATGATTGAAGTTGTACTCCAACGCCATAGATCGTTGCAGTAGCTGTCAACCACCTAAACATAGGTTAATATTGCCGACTGCGGCGCCAAACATCACTCACCCTTTCACTCACAAAATGCATTCAGCTAGTATTTGCATCAACATACAAAGCGTTAGATGGCAAGCATTAAACACCCTCGCCGCAGTATACAGAATGTTGGGTGCCAATTGACTCTCATATACTTACATGCTGTGAACAAATGACATGTAATGTCTGAAGCTGAAGATATGCGAGTCAATAAACCTAATGCCATCACATTCACTCGGTGAAGTCACTCCGATATGTGCCCTGACAGAGAGAAACGATTCGTGACCAATTCTAATTCCATGACAAGCAGGCTGGGATCCCGTCTATCCCTGCTATTTATTCAAAGAAAAGAAGGGTAGTACAACCCACTTTGGCATCTCATGGGGTTCACAGCGATACTGCTGAATGACCTTGTGAGCATTTTAGAACGATTTACCCTTAACTACGGGAAAAAACTACCTCCAGTTTTAGGTTGTGACCTTGGACGGGTCATGCTGACAGGGTCAAAGTTGTGCCAATCAGTGATGTAACGTGCCACATCAACATTGTTTCCAGAACTGGATTATTTAATAGAATTCTCCAAAGATAAGACTTTCATCCCCCAATGCAAATTGAGAATAAGCGCCAGTAAACACAGTGCGGCTGTCTGGGAGGACCCCGACCCTCGGAGTTCCACCAGATCGATACCAGACGACCCTAATATGTTCTAACTCACATGGTGACGTCTGCTCACAGCCGAATTGGGTTTGCTCAACATGACGGGCACTGGTTTTATACGATTTTGGTGTTTTAATGCAACAGCTTAGGGAATGTAGGCTGTCTGAGTAACAGCTAAATCTTTGGCTATTTTCAGGTAACCGTCATGGAGTCGAAATTCAAGGCGTTAGAAAACCAGATTAGAAATCAAACTTAAGGCCTAATCCAGATTTGCGTTACATGTTAAATAACAATTTTAGTTTGTGTGCTGATTGTTATTTGGAATTTATGATACTCTCGACGAATGCTGGATTCATACCACGTGAAGTCTCCAAAGTAAACCCACAGGCTATAAACCATCCACAACTATGACATTAAGTCACGAATTGTTAGGGGCCGTTTATTTCTACGCAACTATAAAAAAAAAGAAAAGAACTACAATCGTGCCCTTCAGTCATGAATGTACTCATTTTCGCCTTGTCAACATCACGACTTTCCTTCCCAGACAGTGTATGTACTACCCGTAATGACGCCAGTCATGCGTAGCTATGACACATTTCCTATATTCTCAAAAATACCTTCTAACAAAGACTTGCGGGGAAGCGAGGCGTATAAATTACAGTGTTATTCTATTCTGCTCCAAATATTTTGAACACCCATGAGTAAAAGGGGCGTTGATACCTAGTATGAGCTAATACCATATGGTAAAACGATCCCAAGGGGATTTACTGACATCATTACGATCTGAAACTACCTGGTTAATGACTTTTTGGAGGCGAAGTCTCTCTTCCTGACATACCCTACCTACATATATATGTACTTAAAGGATATGATGTGTCACATTGATAGAAGGATATAATCAAAAAGGTGTTGCAACTTACTGATGTAAGAGCCTTCAGAGTAGAGAATTTTCTAGAAAGTATATGAAAGTGATCTATTTGTAAATACCTCACGAAACAGCATGGAATGTCAACAGCCTCATTGGATTCATGTAACATATCAACAGTCATACTGATAACTTTGACAGCATGTCAAAAATGGCTATATACTACGACACTATGGTAAATTTCAATGATATATATACATTATAAGCTAAACTGCATTGATGCTAAATGTAAAACCAATTCAATCTGAATTTTCAAGCGCTTTATTGACTGAACAGTTGCATACATACAGGTCCATATCAAAGCACTGATCCTGGTTATAACAGCATTGCACAAAGAGGCGCTATCTGAGCATTGGTCTGTCATCCACTGTAGATAGATGAGTACATGTACTCGCAATACACTCTCCGTGTTGGAGTGAAGCAGCATACATCATTCGCATATCACATTCATGCAGGGAGAACAAGAATTGAAAGAGATGACACTACTTAAACAGGGAGACTCTTGACTAAGGTCCATCCAAAGCACAGTTGCACTCTGGGGAAATTATTAGTCCATAGGTATCTTGAGAACATTCCTCATAATCCTTAAAGTAGTTCCAGTAACAGATATATGTCAATATATGCCTGTATTCATTTTGTCTTTTCAGTAACAACATTGTTACAACAATCACAAGATCTTGACAAGTCCCAAATATGTGAGCAACGAGCATGGAACAATTACAAATACCTGTGTAACATAAATTAATCTTCCAGAATTAGAAACATGTATAACAGTAGCAAGCTAAATCTCTAACAACATACTTGGACTGATGGATAACTAGTTTTCAGTTCGAGTTAACAGTTAAGATTTCCTCAGGGCAAAGCTGACTGAAGACTACCGTTGATATGTCAAGGGCATAGGTTGCTATACAACTGCTCTGTCTAATCTCAATGTGTTATGGAAGGATGAAGAACATGTAACATATATGCAATGTTTAACAGGAGATCAAAAATGGTTTGGGTAATGTGCATAGGAAGATTACTTGTTCGTTGAGACATTTTGGTACAATTTAGTGACAATGCTGAAAATATGACTGGTCCACTAAATGTAAATACATATGCTAATAAAATATTTCTTCATCTGTTTCCATGTGGAAAGGGTTGGAGCTTTAATCCACATTATTGTATCAACATGGAATTGGAGCACCATGTATGTTGAGGAAAACATTTCATGAGAGAAGCTAGCAACTGTTGGCAATAGTGAATCTTCTCAGTACAAATATGATGGAAATACATATCACCCAATAGGGTAAAACATAGGAAACTTCATCTGTACACAAATCCGCTGATTAATGATAGGCATTTGAAATATGCCCAATTACCTTCATAACACCACTGGTGTAACACTGGCAACAAATATATAATAGAAAAGTGGCTGAATGTTGAATATTGGTCCCAGCCAGCGATCTTTACATCATCATCGTCATACATGAAAGCACAGTTTGGTTGTGGTCCACACAGGCCTGTGGGTCAGTCAGTCAGCCAGCCGGCTTGCTTGTCTTTCTTCCACTGTTTGAGCTAGTACTCCCACAGGGTGGAGGAATCAATTTCCTCTCCTTTGGCAACAAAACTGTTTTGTTCTCCTTTCAGGTATTTGCCGTTAGGGGCCTTGATTGAGAGTAGGGACTGTCCCTGGAACTCTATCAAGAAGGGGCAGGTACCAGTGTCAGAGTCGGCTAGCAGGCTATTGTCATCAGCTACAGACCAGTACTTGTTGTTCAAAGCTGGAAGAGAATATAGGTGTATTATTACCATGTGCAATCTTCCTGTACAAACATGCCTTCCTATCTATAAAATTACCATTACCTACTGGAGAAATCATGTTACGGTTGATGTATAATTTCTCTATAATTTTGCATATTGACCAAGAGTTGCATCAGCTTTACTGAATAAAATACATGTTCAGAATGGTCACTGAATTCCTGCCTCAGAACTGGAAGAACAATAGCGTGACATCATAATGGTTTAATTACTACAATCAACTGAATACATGTAATTTCTTGTTTGACTGAAGATTCTGAATTTATTACTTGCCCGTGAAGAGACCACTTGTGAATATTCACTCGTTTCATAAAATTGGTATTACACGGGAGCTTGTTTAGTATTCTATATTTATTATACAAGTGAGGAATGTCCTACTATTAATGAATGTATTGTTTCCAAAGGGGCTGTACAAAATGTTCATATCTCATATAAGAAATAAATGGGCTTGTGGTCGTTGTTTATCATACAATAAAACACTGCAGGGAGAATAAACCATGAGCATCAATCCACAAATGGCTACTATAAAAGAAGGATTTGTATATGTAACACTAGTACAAGCAGTCCTATTTGTCTTACTCAGATATTGATAAGCCAATCCTTTACTGTTGACTATTTTCATTTCTTACACGTCAAGAGCTCTACTTTTCAATACAAATAAACAATAAGCAAGGCCAGCCTGACCTACCTTTCATATAATATTTCCCATCATCCTGTGGTTCCAAGAAGGTTACTCCATAAGTTGTCTTGTTGCAGACTAATTCTGGTTTTGTAGATGTGGCAGACTTCAAACCCACAAATCCAAAATCACACTTGAGGATAAGGAATGGCCTGTTGATCATGCGGATTGTGAAGCGTGTGGCCGCTTCTCGGTTTTCCAGGTTGGATAAGATGCTTCCAGTCTGTTTGTTGTACAAGCAGTTACCGTTATCTGCAGTGATAATAACTGTGCCATCCCCCATGGACTCCACACCAAACAGGGACTTATTGGACCTGAAATGGCCAATGTGACAGAATAAGAGAAGCATTACCTAAATTAGACATGGTAAACAAGGCAGAAGGCTTTAGAATGAATCTGACTGAAAGTATCTGTGCTTGTCAAGCGTTTTTACTTTAAACCAGCGGTCTTGAATAGACAATAAAACTGCGCTACACCATTATATGTTTCTTTTCTACATCATAGTACATGGCTAGTGAGTGCACCTGTACAAAGGTCTCAGTATCTTTAATGTAACCACTTTTGAGGTTGTTACATTTTCAGAATTATTTGTTTGTTTGTTGTTTAACGCTCTATTCAGCAATATGTAAGTCCTATTTGAAGCTTTTTTAACTTTTTTTTAAAATGACAGACACTTGATGGTTACGTATGGACATATATCTAAGCCAAATAAACTTTTCATCAACTTTCCAAAAAATGAAAATGTTAATTTCCAGTCAGCTAAAAACTCACACAGTCAAACAAGTTGCTTGGATTCCTCCAAAGGACTCGAGGGACCAGTACTTGTTGTCTGCTGTTGTTCTGAAGGACCACTTTTGACTGGGTTTGTCAAACTCCATCTGGAATGTCGACTTTTCACACAATTCTGACTGATTGGCTGACAGATCCACACCTAAAACAAATATACAAACACATTCAAATGCAGATTACAAAAGCATCACCATATCATTTGTAACAATCTCCCACTGATAAGGTTCAACATTTAATACAAACTCACACTCACTAAAAGTCCCAGCCTAATATCATATCAGCTTGACTGAAGTTCAGGTTTGAAAAGTCACTAAGGTTGACATCTTCATTGTGGCAACTCTAGTCATTTAAAATCAGCTTCAAAAGGTGCAGGGGCCCATCCCTACACATTCAGATTGACAGAAAGTCAGAAAGAAATCAGTTGACTTCTTCACAATAATGACAGTATCATTCAAACATGCTATTAATCATAACTCGAATACCTTAACATAGACTTACTACAGGACAGTCGTAGCACTGAGGTTGTTTTGTACAAAGGCACCATGATGTATAAATCAGCAGTTATACGAATTACTCTGACAAATAACACGTGGAAAACAAAATTATACGTAGCTCTCTTAATATCGGCTATGAATATATCAGGTTGGTTTGTTGTTTAACGCCGCACTCAGCAATATTCCAGCTATATGACGGCGGTCTGTAAATAATCAAGTCTGGGCCAGACAATCTAGTGATTAATATCATGAGCATCGATCCACGCAATTGGGATCGATGACATGCATCAACCAAGTCAGCGAGCCTGACCACCCGATCCCGTTAGTCGCCTTTTACGACAAGCATAGTCACCCTTTACGACAAGCGTGGGTTGCTGAAGACCTATTCTACCCCGGTATCTTCACGGGTCGAATATATCAGGTACGTTACATTCACACTTGACGTCTGACTTGTCTCAATGACAAACCTAACCGTGTCTGAAAGCAACCAGGCAGTGTCAGATATCAGGATACAATTACGTGATGTGGGGTCGCCTAGAGTTCCGCATGTAAACAGTGTCGTTACAGACACCCACTGCATTTACTAAGGCTACTGTGGCGCAAAGATGGGGGGCATGCTCTCACTGGATAAATACACTCTGTACAGGTTCTCATTACACAACTGCTTGAAACCGTAAATATTGATTTTGTTTCTCAATCCCCCAGGACGCATGTGTTATATCAAGTCGGTTTAATACATGTGGTGAGAATAAGGTATTTTGTTGGGGGTCTACTTTGACTTAGGATCATTTAACTGAATAATTATTGAACTATAATTAGAGCTTCCTAAACGGAAATAGTTTAATCGTTGTCACGAAAGCCGAAGATATTCACATTACAGTGAAGCAGGAGTGTATAAAAAAACCTGTTATCATTAATATCAATGTAAGTAATTCTAATCGTAATTATGTCGACCAATAACTCTGGGAATCGAAAGCCAAACAACTTGACATATCAATTGCTGCAGCAACTGCTTCCGTTTGTCAGAAGTGCTCGATGGTGTTCATTACATTCATCAAGTCAGTTTAAAACACTAGCCGATGTGAAATGGGGATCACAACACCTTTGACAGTAGTCAGCACCGTCCGTCATGTTGTAACAACGCCACCGAGCAAACAGCTCACTGCTGACAAACTTTTAACACATGCTGCCCACATCGTAGAAATGGTCTGAACTCTGATGAAGAACCTCTGAAGGATGTGGAAAACCACAGGAGTTTAGTGAACCTTTAGAGTCCTCTTATTCCAGCGTCAAGTCGTTCGTTAGTTTAACGATCACATGTATTCAATAAGGAAGTAACAGGAAAAGCTTAACGTGTTCATTTCCATCATTCTCACGTTTTTCAGATGTCTGACAAAATCAAAACCCTTTTTTAAACATGTACAAGCATTGATTAAATGAACAGATCACGATTTCCGCAACTGAGTGCCATTATGAACTTAATATTTCAAGTGGATGCTATCAATATATATTTTTGTACGGGGTGATAAAGAAAAAATATCGTACTCATTTTACTAAGAACAAGTCATTTTACTTTGAGTTTTTTACACCATCATGACACAATGATTGTTGAACATGGTCTGCTGGCAAAGTATACTGCAGGACTTTCAGAACACTGCTAAAGATGTTTGACAGCCAGCAATCAGTGGCGGCGACCTGAACTATCCCAAAAACGATCTCAAATTTATTGATCGACATCAGGCAGACGACATCCTCGTCTTCACTAAATGACAGCCATGGATACATAACAAAGAAGTCCATGTTGTGCACCATACAAGCACGCAGAGAGGACCTCAGTTGTTCATTAGCCCTCCAGCGTGAAGCTATGGTCTGTAATTCCAGTCGTCCTTCACATTGCCGTGCACGCAACTAGCCACAGAAACACTAGAATTTTAATGACTCTGAACCGCCTGACCTTATTTATCAATGAAGAATGCAGCCAACTCGAGGTTCTATCACTATAGATAACGACGTAGCAATGGTCCTTGCAATCATGAATTTTTGGTTTTTCACTTGAATCGATTTTCTGAGAAAACCGAAAACCATGACATCTATGCACATGATCAACGAAAATGCCAAACTAAAAGGTCAAAGCCTATATAAAGGTCTCACTCAGTTGCATACCTACAGTCAAGACAAAAGAACAGGTTGACAACATAGAACATGTAAATATTGTCTTCCACGCTCAAAACACTCCATTCAGGGTCGGTGTCAAGAACAAGAGATGACCATTCTCACGTGCTACAGAATGCACTGACTGCACAAGGCATAATCGTCAATCAGTTGTCAGTTTCAAGACCAAATAACAAACTACAATATCTGTTTATTTGGTTAAAGAAATGTAAATTTGACTACAGTTCACCACCTTAGTACACAAAACTTCCATAATAATCTCTCCTTGTCTTTTTCCTTTAAATTCCTACGATACAAGGATGCAATAAAAGGTACTAAATGGTTCCCTACTTTTGGCTAAACGGGAGATTACGTGAATTATGTTGCTTTAGTGATTTAACACTGCAGCCCCTACGCCTGAAGGTCAATATAAAGGCTCTCCTTAGAAACTTCATACATGCTTAGCTAAATTTCCAAACATGCCGTGTATCATCAGGATATGTCAATATTGTTTCGTAGCTGCTGAGGGGCTGGTCGCGTTCCTGAAACGGAGGATGCATTGGCTCAGCCAACAAGGGCGCTACTCGACTATGTTGTACAAAGGATTCCTGACCAACAATTGACAACACTTAATCCTCGTTAAATTGTCAAATCTACTTCTGCGAGTGTTGAGCAAGACATGCGAAGTCCCTTTTCCATTCTAAACACACATGCCACAAAGCAAACTATCGCCATTACATAACAGGTAACATATACTGTGGACTCAGGACATAACAAAAACACTTGCATCTCTACATTAACTTCAAAAAAGGTTCAAGACGTGTTTTGTACACTAAAGACGCATTAATATCAAATAAGACGTCACAACGTGTCGATGCACACTTATTTACTGATCTTTTCATTTGCATTCAGCATCTGCTTGGAAGTTATCGTAAGAGAGTCTCAAAATCTGGAATTCCTCCTGGCTGACATCAGTGTGTCATCATACCCAATTACCGTGGCCTTTTAACTGTGCAATCAACTACAATTAAAGCCGGGCATTGTCAGGTACAGCTTATAATTTCTTTCTATCACATTAGAACCTTCACACTGGTACGAATAAGTGTCGGAAAACTAACGGGAGACGAAATCTGATATAAGCCGAACTCTTAAAGAGGGACAATACCGTAAGGCATAGGCTAAGGCTTAGTCAATGAAAATATAAAATTTTGATAGAAACAAACAACTCCATTTAAATCAAACAGGAGCCCTACTGAAATGGGGTATTCAGAATCGATAGACTTGCTCCATTTACGGGATTTAGCATTACAGTAAGGCAAGATAATATGGTCCAGGAAATGCGAGACAGACTAGGTAAGGCATTGCAACTTCTATTCTTCATTCAAAACGTTTGGGCAGAATTCAAAAGGTCTAATTAAGTTTGTTTTGCGAAATGAAGGTTAAATCCTCCGAACAATGCAAGGAATAACGAGCAGCTGGTGAACATTGCCGGAAGGCTGAGAATACTTTTTTCAAAGATACATACAAAAAATGGGTTCCTCATGTGGGAGATTGTAGGGACGCTAAATACAAACGCGAAATTTTGTGAAATGTGACTCATCTTCGTAGGGAAAGTCGCCATGGCAACCTTGACTGGGCTTTAACATACATTAATCAATAAAATGCTTACTAGTCTTCCATCTTTCCTTTTCACAAACAGAAAAAAACTACATTAAGTTGAAATATTGATGTATGCTGAACATAAAATGACTGAAAATATGCATCACTGATCCATCGAACATGATTGACAAACTAAAATGATTGTGTACGTTACCATTTTATATCGCATCGGCAATATTGCAGCCATGTAGCGATATAGTAGTTAAGATATAATATTAACAAAATACTGCAGCGCATATAATACATTTATAGCCTTGAATGATTTTCTAAGGTTAGTTTTATGCTACCAGCACTATTGTCACGTGAACATTGGGCCTAATAGAGGGCAAATTGGGCTTAACAGTGTAATGTGTCTGCATGTCACGGTGACATTGGTGTCATTTTTTAACTCGACAAAGGCAAAACAAGAGGAAGAAAAACCGCAACGATGTGAGAAATGTTTCACTGTGCTGATAAAGGCGAGACGTGAAATCGATCTGAATATTGTGAAAACACGATCTCTGAACACGAGTTTACAAAAGCACGTGCGCGCATGCTTTTACAGTGATGCTTATGCGGTGACTGGGAGTGAGTGACAGGCAACTGCTTTCATGGCTTTCTCGCGTATCTCTGATTTCATATGCATTGGAAACATTGCATAAAACAAAATATGTCAAACAAACTACCCAGAATTGTTTTGGATATAAATTCCAAGTTTCACAATGAGCAGATTACATGAATGGCTTTATAATGAACTCACACAAGGCTAGATCTACGTAATAAATAATCATTATAACAGGCTGAATCTGTCACAGTATATCTGTATATAGCCTGTAGAGTATATGGGTAAAAACATGAATTCGAATGTGTAAATAAAATCGATGGTTATTTAAACTGATATTTACAGTATTGCCACGAATTCCTGTGGTGTATTATATATCTACAGCGCATTGGTAACAAATGTTAATACTAAATACTAAATAAGCAGTATAATTCAGGTGACACTTTACCTTGTTTAATCGATACAAATTTCTTATTGTTTGTGCTTGTGAGGACAACTTGTGGGTGACTATCTTCAAGGGTGAATAATTCATCTTTTCCAACTGTCTTGTTTTTACCCCCTTTCATGGTTGCAGTGGATCCAACAGCCGTCAGATAATATCCTTTACAGTCTTTGAACGCAAGGCCGCAGGTAGCACCTGACCTGATTTCTAGCGTAAATTTGGCATCATCCTCAAGCTCATTGACAAGACTGCCATCTCTATGCAAGAATCTATTGTCGCAGGTTTTCAGAGAATATTTCCCATCGGCAAAATGCAGAATGACAAGTCCAGCTTCACCCCATGGAACGATTTCTTTGCACTGGATTTCGTCGTCGCAGAGCACAGCATAACGTTTACGGTTGACGTTACGGAGGTTGACTTGGGGGTGAATTGCCAACTGGACAATCCATAACTCAGTGTCTGTGACGGTCTTAGAGAAACACTGCACATTGTCATCGGTTCCCCCAAAATAATTCCCGTGTTCAAGATTTCTGAATGCCCATCGACCGCTTCCATCCTTGGCATACTCAACGACAAATTTGTCACAACGTTCAAGTTCGTCAGCTTCTTTCTCACATGTAACTTTTCCATATTTATCCGCAGATATATAACGACCCAAGTGGCTCCTAATGTACACTACCTCGTCCTTTGTGTCTTGTTCTAGTATCCAAGTTTGCTTTTTCTTCAGACCTTGGCCAGATGCATTGATTTTAAATCCAAATGTCTCCGCTGTCAAATATTTCTGTGCATTATTTATCAATCCAACTTTCCACTGCAAAACATCTGGTCCACCGTGACTGTGACCATTAGCATTTCCGTTTGTAGACATCCTGAATCTATAGCAAAATTATGATTTCATATAAACACGGCAAATACCTATGACACAACTCAGCCAAACACTACCTGCCTGCCTAAGCTCCCAGTCTTTTATGTTAGCAGCCGACAAGCTGCACGTTGGGCCTCGTTTTGACTGCGTCACATTATGAGTCGAAATTTGATTGGTTGAGGCATTCCACTCCCTCTCCACAAGAGAGTTCTTTGTCGACGGCTCATGTGAGGGGAATGCAATTCGGGAGTCGGGTTGCTTGTCAAAAAGTTCATGCCGCAGTTGTGTTTAGAGCTGAATGTGTATCATATTTCGGCTGATAGTTTTACAGGGAGTGAAGTGAATTCGTTTGCGGTGATTTGTATTTCAATCTGTTTTAGCGAGCCCATTCTATCGATTCACGCCTCAATTTGTAAACAAAAACAAGGTCCGAGAAAAATGTCAAAGTTTTAATTTTGATATAGATCTAAGTAAATTCTGAATTGTCGACAAATGACTTTTCACGATTTGGGGTGAGTGGTCACATGCGTGTAACATTGTTACATTAGGCTCAACGAAATTCGAAGAAGTAGCCTAGCTGGTACCGGATTTCAACGATAGTCGTCTCTCATAATTGTTTTGCCCGACCACACTCGTTGGCCAAGGACAGTTTAGCTGTTTAGCACTCTTCGGGCAGTCAAATAATCTGTCATGTTACTCTTAACATGTTCTTACGTCGTCTTGAACACAACATCAATGCACACACTTTTCGTCCATCGGGCGCAATCGTGCGTGACGAGTGTTCTAAGGGAGATAACTTCTGTATTTATTGACTAATGTGGGCAGAGCTCATGTCCTGCAACCGGTCACTGAGACAGTCCTTGGGAAGTAAGCGATCGCCCTAGAGGTTCCAAGAACGTTTCCATTCCAAGACCGGTTACTGTAGTTGTTTGTTTCTTATGACTTCAACACCAGAATATATCAAGCGTTTTTGATTAAACGTAGTTTGATTTTTTTACACATCATTATATTTTACTCGTGAAGGATTCGCCATGTGATATTTCACAGTATGTAATGTATTGTTTGACTCTCTGAATATGAGATTATATTAGCTGCAAGATCAATTCATTCTCTTCCTCCCACGACACTAGACCCATCGACCATAGAGTATGTTGTATGTTATGTGTGGGTTAGGATTTAGGGACACGATGGCCCGGGCATATATTTAAAACGTTCAGAGATCATCCATGCATCTTCACGGAGACAAAACTGTAGTTGCAGTAGACCTACCTCGTTTCACTTAATAAATTTCTCAACAATGTCCTCCCAAGTCAAGTAATGGGGTTCGCTGGGTTAGACGTGAGAAAGTCAAAGGGCTAGTGGTGCATACACTGTTGTCCTGCGCTATGACTGGAATTTATATATTTTATGTATGTTTCTTTTTACTAAAAGCATAGGCAAGTCTAGATCAAAGTAACCAAGTCTAGTTTGCTTGAATCCACAGCAGAAGAGGAAAGCTTCATGTTTTCATTGACTAAGTGTTCTTTTTCTTTCACTGTAGTTAGCCAACATTATTCAGTTTTATATTATAAAGCAATACTTTAGCCATTACATCTGGCCCAATCAAACCAGTATCTTTGATAACAGAAGAACAATCCACGGTTTCTTTTCATGACATGCGTTCTGCGGGGTCACCAACAATAACCACTCGATCACCATTCTACTGTGTGTTTGGCTCCAAATTGCAAAATAACTAAAAATCGGGAATATTCTATTAAATGTCAGTAGGTACAGGGCAATGAATACCCTGTATCCAACAATATCTGTTGTTTGTTATTTTTATTCCCATCACTGGAAAAGTTATTAAAAAAATTATGAGGCGGTCAGGTTCGCTGACTTGGTTGATGCATGTCATCGTACCCCAGTTGCGTGGATCGATGCTCATGATGTCAATTACTGGATTGTCTGGTCCAGACTCGATAAGTTACAGACCGCCATCATATAGCTTGAATATTGCTGAGTGCGGCGTTAAACAACAAATAAACAAACAAATAATGGACTATTCACGATTTTGAGTTATTTGGCAAATCATCCTTCCCATTGGAGCCAAAACGTCAAACATAGGACGTGTACAGCAGTCTTGTCAACATACAGAATCCCCGTGGCAAAACATGCTGGCTACGATATGATTGCTTGAGATTTTGGCCAAATGGAAAAGGTAAGATTGGGTGAAATGTGGCTTAACGTCGTGTTCATAGAGACGTGTGTGTGTGCGTGTGTGTCCCACGGAGATATCACGCCCAGTGTTAACATGGATACCGCACCTCACAGTATACTGAATCGGAACCGACTAGTCCTTGTTTCTCCATATTTAATGCTAGGCAGGGTAACAACAACTATCATCTTTTTACGCCTGTTGATATGAACCACCCACCTGCCTCTCTCCGGGCAGACGCTCTATCAACTAGACCACTTGGGCGGTTTGCATGTATTCCGTAGAATAGAATAAGATTGAACAGAATGCTCTCGTTGGACAGGGTACACACATGGTACACACATGGTACACACATCGCTGTAGCACTGGTGTTGAAGTATGCTGTGAAAATGTACACGTAATTATATATCATGAAGCCAATGGCCTAACCAAATTTATCTTACAAATATGGCAATTAACCTCACACAAATATCGGTGAGTTTAAGTTTACATATTTGAAAGTGATGAACACAACATCATTGATATTCACCTGTGGCAGAGTGTGTATATTTTACGACGCATCATTCAATTCAGACCCAATTTAGTTCACACAAAATGGTAACTTTGAACAACCTTAGTCCCATCACCACATATAGTTTTCTCTGATTTTAAATAGAATGGCATAATATTTTTTTATCAAAATATCAGGGAAATTAAGTTCAACCGGTTCTCCCGTGTAAAGCTTGCATTTTAACAGATGTCCGGTAACCTACTCAGGTCACAAAACGTGACTATCGAATATTAGATAGCCATCCTTACAGGACCTTTTTAAGATTCACGTTTTTCAATCCAAGGACTTGTCATTTTGTCATTTATTGTTGTTGTTGTGGTGGTGGTCGATTCATTTTTGGGAATGTATCGCATTTTGTTAAATGTTAATGTTTAATTTAATATATTTGAAAACCGAAAACATTTGATGTAACCGTGTAGTAAGAGCTCCCCTCCATAAATTTTGGCCCGTACTCTTTTTCGCTTTCATTTTATTATCATTATATAAATTATTGTGAGAGACAATCATCGTATCTGATCTTATGCATTTAATTTTTTAATAATTAGAATAACATACACTCATGTTCAAAACAATTACACTTGACTAAACGTTATTCATCAATCTTGAATCAAAATGTTTTTGAGCACAATCTTATGTCCTCGGATGCCCTGTTCGCGTGAAACGACGTGAGATTTGGCGCGTTTTCCTGTGTTTACCTCTAGGAATTGTGGGTAATGATACAGCAACATGGCCGCTGAAAGTGTTGTCGATCTGCGACACAAGTTAAAACATCAATCAAAGCCTGCTAAATCAGTCAAAAAGCGCAACTCAGGGGGTGAATATGATACTATGTATGCAGATTTTTACCAACCATCGTCGAGGTATGAAGATCACGTCAAAAACGAACGCGAGGACGAGTTACGTAAACTTGACGACAGTATTCAGCAACGTCGGCTCTTCTCAACAGCGCAGTGCGAAGAGATCGAGAGGAAAATTGACGAGGTTGTTGCTGAAGCCGAAGCAGGGGTATACAAAGATTGCACCGTTGATCGAGCACCATTGAGAAATAAATATTTCTTTGGCGAAGGGTACACCTACGGATCCCAGATGGCAAAGAAAGGGCCTGGTCAGGAGAGGCTTTATCCGAAGGGGAATGTAGACGAAGTACCCAAGTGGATAGAGAAACTTGTGATAAACCCCTTATATGACGCTGATATTGTCCCCAGGGGCTTCGTCAACAGTGCTGTGATCAATGACTATATGCCTGGGGGATGCATCGTCTCGCACATTGATCCACCTCACATATTTGACCGCCCCATATTTTCTGTATCTTTTTTTAGTGACAGCGCTCTGAGCTTTGGTTGCAGGTTCTCCTTCAAACCGATCAGAGTGTCAAAGCCAGTCCTTACTTTGCCTATTCAGCGAGGATGTGTTACAGTCCTAAGGTATTATGAAAATAAAATCATCGTACCTGTGTATGATGCGAATTGTATAGAAATTATCTGAAGGTCAACAGTGAAAAGACTTTAAGTATTATTTAGCTTCAAATATACCAGTTGGCATGAATGAAATTTTGCTACACTGTTAATCTGTATTTAACCTTGGTGACTCTTGAAATGTCATTACTTCTTTCACTAGCTGATGTCACCATATTCCCTCATCTGTTCATCATTTATTATTAGCCATTCAGTATGTCACTATGAGGTGGCTACAGATTGACAGGTCCCCGGAAGAATGTGACCCTAGCACCCCATTGCTGGTCGTAAGATGCAACTATTACATAATATCTAAAAAGCTATAACAAGACATTCAGAGAACTTGTGAAAACATATATCATGATATATTGAAACTCTCCAAGCTGTGGGTGGCGTTAAACAACAAATATATACACAGGCAACACAGACTGACTTAAGTAGGAAAGCGTGCCAATACCCACTGTAGGATTTTCATCACATTACAACATCTGTGATTGGCTACAAATAATTGAAAAAAAATCCACAATAAATATAAAAATGTGAAGATCAACTGTTTTACCCGATAAATCTCAAATTTATTTCAAAGTATGGAAAAAGATCTCACAAAAAATTCAGAGGAATTTAAAGGGGTAATGAAAACTATCCCAAAGTTTAGCTTCTGTACGTCTGGAACTCTATTTTTTAAAAATGATATGCATATTGAGCATCTTTTCTAAATACAGGATTATTTGTTGTCTGTCACACATGATAGACTTTTCTGAAGGTATTGGAAGGTGATTACCAAGATTCTTTGAAGTGCTAAATGGTCATCATATTTTTACTATGTCGTGTTTTTGTTTCAGTGGCTATGCAGCTGATGGCATTACTCACTGCATCCGACCTCAAGATGTTGTTGCAAGGCGTGCAGTCATTATTTTGAGAAGGTAATATTTTAACCTTTAAGCACTTTACCCATGATACTCGTACATGTTGTCGTTTGTTTGTTGTTTAATGCCGCACTCAGAAATATTCCAGCTATGTCAGGGTGAGAACTTAACTGAAAAGCTATACTAGCCCAGGTAAAGATTAAATGCCCTTGTAATGTTAAAACAATGGGGAAATTTGTACTAGCCTGCAGGATTTTGCACTAGCCCCAGGCTAGAGGGTTAGTGTTAATTTCTAACCCTGTATATGATGGCAGTGTTAAATAATTGAGTCTCGACCAGACAATCAAGTGATTGCTATTATGTGCATCAATCCACACAATTGGAATACAATGACATGCATCAACTAAGTCAGTGGGCCTGACTAACCCAATCCCGTTAATCACCTCTTACTTGCCGAAGACCTATTCTATCCCGGGTCTTCATTTGTAGGGCGTACATGTATATTTGGACTGAAAATTATGGTTTCAGTTTAAAATATTTTTTAATCTTGTTTGAATTTTAATGTCCATGATCTATCTTTATTTTAGTTGGTGAAATAAATAGCTGAAACAGCAGTACAGATGTTATGCAAAAGTATAGCATGCTGAAATTATTATTTATTTTTTTTATAGCCAATTATTCTTTAACTTTAAATGATATATATCCTGCTTATGTCCTCAGAGTTTTACCTGATGCACCTAGACTGGATGATGACCGATCTTTTACACGGAAACGTCAACATGCGAGTGATGAATCTAACAGTGAAGATGAAAATCAAAGTCACACCTACAGAGTAGTCATGCCACGTGCAGAATCTGCAAAGAGCCAGAAGCTTAATCAAAAGCCTCCTAAAGTAAACTCTAAGGTGATTTGCTTGAGTCACGGTAATGGAGACAAGGAGGAGAATAATGATTCATGTGAGGAGGACACAGCCTCATCCACCACAAAGATTGAGCGTGAAGTTAGATTCTCCAACTGGAAGTCGTAACCTGTTTCTCATCAAGTGCTTTACCCAGTAAATAGTGTCAAACTTTGTCAAGTGCCAAGTGTTGGAGACAGTTGTGTCTAGTTGGAACATACTTTGCCTGGTTTTTGAGGTTTTATTTTGTTTGTGTGATTTTTTGTTATGAAGCAAGCAGTGAAAAATATGGTTGATGTGTCTGACAAACCTGTCAGTACTTTATATCCATATTCATCTTGACATGTTTCAAATACATTGCAGTCAAACTGATAGACATCAAGTGTTTGACAGCATAGGCATTGGTTACTTATACCTACGAGGCATTCCTGTTTTTCAAGATTTACCTATTTACTTTCATCATCTTCATCTGCTGTGTCTGTCCATATGGGTTTCCACAGTTGTATGTTATTACTAATTATATATTTGCTCTGAATTATTTCCCACTTCCCCACGTCCATTGTGTACTTACAAAAGTATTGGAAGATAATATCATATTTAGTTGGCTTGTCATAGCAAGTGATGTATCACAAGGTATGTTCCAACACTGTTTTGAAGTCACAAATACAGAACATTGTTTATTGATCTGCATATCCATACATGATGTTAATGATCTAAAGGGCTGTCATTGGTTCGATATTTCAATATCAATATATCATATGCCAAATTTTATGTTTTAATGCTTTGTTTTACATTATTTCATTGAATGCAGTATTATTATTAAAATTCCTCAGAATGTAAGAAGATAAGACTTTTTAAAAAATCCAATCTTTTTCAATTTACCTGCCAAAGGCACTTAGTTTAGAATCACAGATAAGTCCCTTGTATATCTCAATGCATATATGAGTGATATCAAAGAGAGTGTTAGAATCTGGCATTAGTCCCATGTCCAACACAAATTTTCTCAATAGTAAGCAATGTTAAACATGCTAAATGTGTTCATAGGACTAATATTAAATACTGCGTTTAATCATGTTAATTAAATTTCTCTTTATACATTATGATTTACAAGGACAAGTGATTCAACATTCAGCTGCTGTATTCAAGAAGTACACACACAATGAATGTGTGGTAACATAGTTAATATTTCAATCTTTGCATTCATATTATTATGTATCAGTTGAGTATGGATATGTAGATATCGTGATATCAGTGACAGCCCTCCTCCTGTGATGTACATATTTGTGGTTATCTACTACAGTGTTGTTGTTAGAAACTCCTGATTGCATAATTCCCTCATGGCAGCAGTGTGATGTTTTTGTGTGGAGGCTGAAGAAAACATTCTTGGTTCTTACGCATCTTGCATGCAGCAACAACTAAAGTCATGCACAGCAGTCTTTTGTTTTTGTTTTCCTGGGCACACAATTTCATGCTGAAAGAAATTAGCCAAAGTGTTTGCATAAGAACCAATTTGTTATTGTTTTTTTCTTCCTGATTGCTGAGGACAGTCCAAGCACCATTGATGTCTCTGTTAATGGAATTGATATGGTAATAGTATGAAATAAAATGTATATGTCAGTTAATACCCAAATATTGTACCTGTTGACCGGGTGATACGTTGTAAGGATTTCAGCTTCACATAATTTCAAGATCGTTAGTGATGTTTGAGAGGTACAATGTTTTTCTTACCTTGATCACCAGGTGTGACATTACACCTTCAATAGTATTACCATATTCGGCGTAATAAGCGCCCACAGCGATATTTGCTAATATACTGACTAGTGAACAATCCCAATTGGCACCCTTCCGATTTATCAATGTACACAAGATTTATTTATTCGTGTATAATACGTACTTGTGTGTTATATGCACCCTTAATTATGGGCAATTAAATTCTGGAAAAATATATCTGTCGTGTATTATAGGCACAGATTTTTCTTTTGTATCATTTCAGGCTGTCAGCATAAACCACAAAATGTATGATCTTTCAACTCTGTGTTTTTTTTCATCAAAATTTTATTCTATTAGGGCCCCTATTTCTAATTTTGAGAGTGCCCTGAGCGCCTATTATGTCGAATACGGTACTTATAAAAACAGGAATGTGGTAGTTGCCAGTAGCTAGCTATAGAACAGTACAGGAACTGTTAAGCAACAGGAGGTAAAGAGTTTTGTCATTTTCAGAAAGTCAGTGGTGCTTAGAAATCCCTTCAAGGTGATATGTACTTTTAAATGTACAGAAATGATAACCATGGTTTGATGAAGAATCTGATATGTAATTATTGTGGTTGGTACAAAGATGTGATTTCAACATTGTCTGGTCTCATCATCTGCGGAGGCATTGCTATCTCTTTTATTTGTTCCTGTTCTCTGATTATAACATTCAGTTCAACTCTATTGTCCTGTTTCTTGTGTTTCATTGATACTTTCAACTTGATTCCACATGGTATTTTTGACTATGGAGAAGAAAATCATCATGGTAAATTAGTAAACAAATCTTAGCCACTTGTATGAAGCCAAGTAAAATATCTATCTGTCAAGCTACCTCATCTTATAATGGATCATATTTTAACACTTACATTGACAAAATACAGGATTGGGCAAGCAGACTCAGTAGGTTTTTACGCGGACTTTTCATAGTTACATTTTGTTGGCAAGACAGGGGTTGGAAAAGAAAGTCTGCAGCATCAGACTCTTAAAAAAGATGATAAATTTGTTCATTTTGTTTTTTCCATAAACGTCAGGACGACCTTGGAGTTATAATATTGGATGTTTGCATTACTATTCCACATGTCAGAGAAATAACTTATTAAACAGATAACATTTTTCGATATGCTGAAACATTTTGTTGAGTGAAATGTTATGACCCTAAACGTTTGGTGCATCTATGATTTACAGAATATCACATGAAAATCCTGCATGATAAATTATGGTCAACCTTTTAACATGGTGAAGCGAGTCTAATTGTGTCATTAAATCGATGATTATTAACTGAGTTATATTCATGGTATTGATTATGTGTCACTTGTTAATTTGACTGTACATTATGCTACTGGTAATAAATAAACTGGGGATAAACACATTACAGAACGCTGAAAGCAAGAAGAGAATTACCAATTTTCACTATATTCTATGCAAAACGATCGAAGTATAATTTACTGGTTTGTCCATTTTTTGATGGTTGATGTCAAATGAGTTGTCAAAAAAAGTAAGCAAACACATTTCACTGTGTATTCAGAACGATGTGAAGTTAAAAGTTAAAAACATTATATCAGTTTTTGGTTGCATTTTGTTTTTGTATGTTTTCTTATTCATTAAAAAAATAGAGTGCACTGCCAAATAAGAATAACTTTATATCCTGTTCTTTTTGTATTTTGTCTTGTGTTTTTGGCTTGTTTGGTTAGAATGTTATTGGGAAATTAATGTGTTGGCTCAGTACCTTGCAGCAGTTGTTCAGTCACACAGAATCACCATGTTAAATAAATGTTGGAGCACACCCACCTATATCTGAGTTCATCATGTTTTGTCTGTGTATGGTAATGGCTGCCCTGAGATAGATGGAGGCAATTGGCTCTCTTGAGCGTCTCCAGTAACTGCAAGAATTGGCCAGAATCTCAGATTTGTCCTTATGATTATGATCCTCGGTTTGTCACAACAATGTCAGTGCTTGTTGGTTTCACCAAAGTAGTTGTTGGAGCTTTGCTTCAACGTTACTGACCCCTGAGATATGGATACTAGTCAAAAAGTGAAAAAGTGGAAATAAATTTCAGTTAAGTACCGGTAATCTATAATCTCAATTATTGCCTCATCAAGGTGTGCCCGCCGGGGAAAGCAAACAATACTTATCTTAACTTTCGGTTACAGTTTGTAAAATGTCTGAACAAGATTGGTTTATTGTGTCTGAACATCAGAAAAGACCAACATATTTCATGTATGACTTTGTGTCTCAATATACACTTTCTGCAGGTCTATCAGGTAGCGACAGGGTTTTACCCGATGCAGAAATATGCATCCAGTACACTCAAATGTCTAGAATGGACGCATAAATTTTTTATATTGCATCCCATTGGATACATGATGCTAGTCATCATACCAAATTCTTGACAAAGAAATTAAAGTTCCTGTAATTAAACTAATCATTTAAACTTTCAGTACAGTGCGCTAGTCTTGCACTAGTCAGCAAATTTACAGCATCCTGAAGATAAACTGTTCTGGGCCAGTGGTTGATAACATGAGCAAAGCTCCACACTGTTGGGGCATAGTAGCATGCAGTCAACCAGATCCTATACTGCGACCATTCATTACTCATTTTAGTTGGCAGGGTGTATTCTGACGGGATAGACAGCCAGGATAAAGCTTGAAAAAGCTAGCCACAATTCTGGACGTATCTGCAGTTGACGTTTAACCATATTTCTTTTCTGCATGATGATAGTTACAAGTATCCCTGTGTTATAGGTTTTCATACGCTTATGAAACATTTGTAATCTTCCCGTTAATCACGAGAACAACTGTAAAACATTTTACGACTTTATCTTAAAAACAGTGCATCACCTGAGTACATGTTTTTACAATATTATTATGGCGTGAATAATCGCGATAACCATGATCGTCCGAAAACATATGATGTCCAAAGACCTGTGATCGGACAATATGTAGAACTAGAAGCTCAAGTTGAGAAATTTTTGTGATGGATTTAATTTAGCTATCTAAAATGTAATATGATAAAATATGACTACAGGGTAGTTTGGGTAAATGGAGACACTTCAGTTTGGTCCAGTGGCAGTTTCAACTATCGTAGTACCAGGTATCTTGATTGTGGGTCGTATCCCAGATTTGCTCTGAATGTTGGTTGGTCTCCCACATTACCCTGCCATGGCAGAACTTGGTCCTTGTGTATTGCTTCTTTATTCATCATTTGTCCACACAACAGTGTCTCCAAACTTAGATGCCAAAATGTTTTTGATTAAAATCTGAATCTTCAAAGTTACTACATTGATTAGATGTGGTCAGATGTGTAATGATGTCTGGGACTGAACAAGAAGCTACTGATTGTATGTCACTGGACTTCATTACCTCATTGGATAGGTAGACACACATGTGCTGTTTGTTTCAGAGTAGAATACCATTTTCAAATTGAGATCCTGTATAGTCCAACACAAAAGGGGGCGGTCGGGCAGCCTAGTGGTTAAAGCGTTCGCTCGTCACGCAGAAGACCCGGGTTCGATACCCAACATGGGTACAAACCATACTCACTCACTCACTCACTCGATCACTCTCACTCACTCACTCACTCACTCACTCACTCACTCACTCACTCACTCACTCACTCACTCACTCACTCACTCACTCACTCACTCACAAAAGATTGGTTTTGATAAATAGGTATAAAAAAAAATTCATTTGCTAGATGTAAAGTTCTTGTGAATGTTATTTTACCATTGTATTGGTAAGTTAAATTGGCTGACTTGATGCACACCTGGTCCCATGATTGATTAACAACAGTAAACCTCAAGGCCCCCCCCCCCCCCCCCCCCCCCCCCCCAATCACCTAACTTAACCACTGTTGAGTGTGGCTTCAACACTGATGATGAGGTGGCCCAGTGGTTACAGTTACAGTTACTTTTTCATGCAGAAGACAGGGTTTGATTCCTAACATGTGAGGCCAGTGCTTGGTATGCCATAGTGGGGCAGTAGTACCTGTTTTCAATAAATATATAAACATGATATAAATAATTTGAGATCCTTGGTGTGTTCCGAATGCATAACAATCTATGGAAATATAATTTGTTGTTTCGATTTGTTTGTTTGCTTGTTTAAGGTTATACAAGAAATTATTTACATATAGTAAAATGGAGACTGCTCCACTGTAGGTCTCCCAATGTTATCTATATACATTGTATATGATTGCTGCTGTTTTGTTAATTGTGAATTTTGCTCCCTCACTCGCAAGTGTAGGATTGTGCAGTGTTTATTCTGGGAATGTTATGTTTAAAAAATGGTATATATCATGTTCTTGTACACAGACATTTGTATTTAGACCCGGATTATGTATTGAAAAGTATACGAAAGGAGCTTTTTGTATAAAATGATTACAGATTTGGTATGTCATTTGATTTCATGTTATTATTAAGAGTGTGTCCTTGAAGAAGAACCTAAGCTTCCATTTATTTAGAAGGGTTGAGACAGTGGTGATGCCCATGTTGATCTGTAAATGCAAAAGTATTGAACTTGCAACTCTACATGTACCTTTGGTAAACTGTCTTTCACATTTTTTCTTATGTAAATACAGAAATTCAAGCTTACTTTTTCTTATGGTTTGGAGAGAATGTTCAGCTTCAAACATGGAAAAGAGGTGCCTTCCTTGGTATTGTGTGATTGTACTCTTAGTAACCTGTGTATATGTATACATTGTTGATATTTGCCAGGTATGTTACAAGTACTGTTTGAATTTCTTTGGTGTGTTGATGACTGATATACCACACATTAATTATTATATACCATGTTACCATGAGACAAAGGAGCTACATGAAAAAGGTTGTTTTTTTTATAGAATTTTACTGTTATGTTCATGATGTTTTGTTTCTTTAATCAATTCAGTTTTTCCCTATTTTCCATCATCTGAATAGTATTTTCAGTTTAAAGGGGTACTGGGCTCAGCTGCAAGTTTCACTCAAATCATGTTTATCTGTCAACTAAAATTATGTTAAATATATCAATGTAATTGTTCATGATTACCCGATTTACAGTTTCAGTCTCATTAAGATCAGATATTTTGTTCTTGCTACTGCTAAGCAACGACATTTCACAAACTTTGCCCGACCTATTAAATGACTGACAAGTCAACATTAGCCAATCAGAAAGC